TGAAAACGGCCAGGCGGTGTCGCTGCCGCTCAAGAATCGCGACAACGCATTGGCTGATTGGTAAGTAAAGCCCGTATTGTGACCATGCTCGTTTGAAATAACCCAATGAAACGTTTCCTGCTTGCGATCTTGCTAGGCGCTTGGTGCTCGCTGAGCGCCCAGGCCGACGAGGCGAAGTTGCCATTCGATCGGGCGCAGATCAATCGCTACAGCCTCGACCATCTTTCCCGTTCGATTTCGATCCGCCAGGGAGACGACTTCTGGCTAGGCTACGACCTGCAGCGAGGCACGCTCTACAAAGCATGGCAGGCCCCGGAAGGAAAAGCGGCGCTAAAGGCTTCCGGCTTTGTGATGAAATCGGTTGGCAAGACGCTGTACGAAGACAAGTCGGACGCAACGTGGAAGCTGCAAACCGGCGACCGAACCGCAGCGCTGACCGTGCGTTACCTGGGGTGCTCGCAGCGTGACGAGCACTTCGAGCTGCGCTGGGAACTGAAGCACGACTCCACGATCATAACCCTGCGTGAACGTGTGCCGATGGATGCCGCACAACCAATCGTGCGCCAGCTGCAAGTCGAGTCACTGCCTGACGGTGCCCAGCTTCTTCCTCCGAAACCGGTGCTCGCGGGATGGACCTTGACGTCGACCAAGGGGCAGGTGTCCTCCCACTTATCGAGCCCCCAGTGGTATCAACTTCACTCGCGCTAGGCCACTCACTTCCAAGGTACGCTCCGATGAATCGACTCGCAATAATCTGCTGCCTGACCGTCGCCCTGGCGACAGGTGGTGTGTGCCTGGCCGACGATGCGAGCCGCTCGTTGGACTTGCCAGCCAAGGCCATTTTTTCCAAAGGGCCCAACCAGTGGAACCAGGATGTACTGGAGATCACGCGCGGCCGCGGGGCGATTATTGGTTGGTACCTTCAGGCAGAGAGCGAGGAAGAAGTCACCGTCTCGATCGAGTACGCCGCCACGCACTCGCTGAACCAGGCGTATCAGCTTTCGTTCGACGGACATGATGTCTTTTGGGATGTCGTGCCCACCCAAGAAGGCCAATGGGCA